TACACTTTTTTTTTTAATTTATTATGAGTGTGGCTCCATGTGTGGTGTGTGTGTGTGTGTGTGTGTGTGTGTGTGTGTGTGTCCATGCACCTGCCATAACAAGCACATGGGAGTCAGAGGACAACTTACAGGAGTTATTTCTTTCTACCGTGTGGATTCGAGGGATTAGGCTTCTCAACAAGCACCCTTAGCATTGACCCATTTCACTGGTCCAGTAATAATTTTTTTGTTTTTTCAAGACAGGTTTTCTCTGTGTAGCTCCAGCTGTCCTGAGACTCACTTTATGGACCAAGCTGGCCTCAAATTCACAGAGATCCACGTGCCTCTGCCTCCAGAGTACTGGGATAAAAGGCGTGCGCCACCACCACCCGGACAGTAATAATCTTTTAAAAAGAATCAAAGAAATGGCTTACACTGCAAAGTGATACTTTGTGTCAAACAAAACAAGCAGAGAGTAGTGGCAGGTGCTTAGTTCTGTCACTCAGGAAACTGAGACAGGAAAACTACTTTGGGGCCAGCTCAAGCTGCCTAGTATGTTCAAGACACACCTGATGTTTTTGTTGTTGTTTTGAGACAGGGTTTCTCTGTGTAACTCACTCTATAGACAGACTGGCCTACAAACTCACAGAGATCCTCCTGCCTCTGCCTCCCAAGTGCTGGGATTAAGGGAATGCGCCACCACTGCCCGGTCACAACTGTGAATTTTACAACCAGCCTGTGATACATGAGGTAGAGCACATAATCAAATAAGCGGGCTCACGGGGGGCTCACAGAGGCTGGCGCAGCAATCCGGGAGCCCGCCTGGGCCTGCCAGGTCCTCTACATAGATGCTATGGTGGTTAGCCTGGTGTTTCTGTGGGACTCCCGACAGTGGGAGGGGGTGTCTCTGACTCTTGGGGCCCTTTTCCTCCTACTGGGTGGCCTTGTCCACCTTGATCCCCGAGGGTTCGTGCCCAGCCTTATTGTATCTTGTTGTGCGGTATTTGGCCGATATCCTGAGAGGTCTTCTCTTTTCTGAATGGAAATGGAGGAGAAGTGGATCTGGGGGTGTCAGGGACTGGGAGAAGTGGAGGGAGGGGAGACTGCATTCAGAATGTAGTGAAAACAAAAAGAGGAGAAAAGAAAAGAAAAATATCCCGCCGGGCATTGGTGGCACACGCCTTTAATCCCAGCACTCGGGAGGCAGAGACAGGTGGATCTCTGTGAGTTCAAGGCCAGCCTGGTCTACAGAGTGAGTTCCAGGACAGCCTCCAAAACAATACAGAGAAACCCTGTCTCGAAAAACCAAAAAAAGAAAGAAAAAAAAAAAGAAAAGAAAAACATCCCGCATAAAAGACTTTCAAAAGTCACATACAGTCACATAATTTCACACACAGTCACATAAGGGATACAACACAACACACCCAAACCAGGCAGTGAGTGGCACACCTAAATCTCCCGAGTTCCTCCTATGCTGCTGGGTTAGCCCTCAAGGAAACAGCAGGCTTAGGATAGAAAGGGGGGCCCCCACTTGGACTCTCAGCCAGACTGGTTCCACCAGGGCTATGGATGGCACAACCCATCTTGCTTGTGAAACCCATGTTGAGCAACTGGGCTCGGATGCAGATGCCGGGATTCTGAGCAAAGATGAGTTGGAACACCTGACTCCGGTGTCCTGAGGGGGCAGAGGGTTAGGTGCCAGGCACACTCTCGGGGAGGGAGAAGGAAGGGAATGGGACCTGGACACCCAGGTTCTGCGAACGCAGGGCCACAACCCCACCGGGTTTTGCTATTGGAGCGAGAGCTCCTCCAGTCACGGTAAGTAAAATACACAAAGCCCAGTGCAATCTGAATTGCCAATAAATAATTAGATTTTGTCTTACTATGAGTATATTCCCATGTATATATAACGTTGGCAATATATTCGTCATTTCTCTGAAGTTCCAAGTGCAGCCAAGTGTAGCGGTGCACACACATTATTCAAGCTCTCATGCGAGGGCAGGAAAACCATGAGTTCAAGGACAGCCTAGGCTTCATTTGCGATGCTATCTGAAAACAGAACTGGACTTTTGGGGGCCAGCAAGATGGCTCAGCAGGTAAAGGCACTTGCGGCCAAAACCTCACAATCCGAGTTCAATCTTAGAGAAGCAACTCCCACAAGTGATCCTCTGACCCTAACTCACACATGAACGTGTGCACGCATACAAGTTTTTAAAAGGGGGGCTAGACAGACGACTCGGCAGTTAAGAGCACTGGCCCCTCTTCCATAGACCCAGCATCAGTTCCCAGCACCCACATGGTAGCTCACAGATGTCTGTAATCTGAGCTCCAAGGAAGAATCTTGCACGCTTTTCTGGCCTCCATGGGTACCAGGCACGCTCGTGGTGCACAGATATAAATATAGGCAAAATATCTGTACACACGCATACACACTCAAACAGACAAACAAATCAATAAAGTAATCTGTACACACGCATACACACTCAAACAGACAAACAAATCAATAAAGACTGGGAAATGGTGGCGCACGCCTTTAACCCCAGCACTCGGGAGGCAGTGGCAGGCGGATCTCTGTGAGTTCCAGGATAGCCAGGGCTGCCCTGAGAAACCCCGTCTCAAAAAAAAAAAAAATGGAGCCACCTCTTAAGGGGGACAAGGGCAAAAGCACCTGGAGGTTAGGTCATGAGCTCTCCCCGGCTCCTCAGACCTGTCTCATCCTGTTTCTGGGTCTCTTCCCCCTCCCCCCTTCCCATTTCAAGCCTCCTCAGCATGAGTGGCCTTTTCTAATTGGGGCCTCCAGGCTATGTCAGTAAACTTGGACAACTCAGGTTATCACCTAGGCAGCCTGTGGTCCTCAGTCATGACTGGTCCTGAATCACTTGCAGTCCATTTCCTGTCGTATGGAGAAGGGGCCACGTGGCTGCCTTAGAGATGGGTAAAGACCCCTGATAGGAGACAGAGACCCCCCAGGATGAGGAGACACAGATGCAGGGTCTGACAGGAGAGAGACCAAGACATGGGACCACAGAGATGCGCATGTCGAAATGGAAAAAGATGAGGAACGGAAGGAAAGGGGTGTGGCGGCTCGTGCTTGCAATCCAAGAACTCAGGAGGCTGAGGCAGGAGGATCACCGTAAGTGGAAGCTAGCCTAGCTACATCCAGAGTGAGACCCTGCCTCAAATGAAGAAATCGTACAAAGAAGGAAAGGAGCTAGCTGGGGGGGTGCTCAGCTGGCCGCCTGCCGGCCTTAGCGTGGGCCAGGCCCTGGGTTTGATCCCCAGCACCAGACTCCGTAATTTTGTTTGTGCAAGGTGCAGTAATCTCAGCACTTGGAGGTGGAGGCGGAGATGCCCAGGGTCATCCTCAGCTACACAGTGAGTTGGAGGCCAGCCTGGGCTACATGCGAGCCTGTCTCAAAAAAACAAAAAGAGGGAAGGAAGGAGAGAGGGAGGGAGGGAGGGAGGGAGGGAGGGAGGGAGGGAGGGAGGGAGGGAGGGAGGGAGGGAGGGAGGGAGGGAGGGAGGGAGGGAGGAAGGGCAAGGCTAATCTGGACAGAGACACAGAGATGGGGAGACAGGCGCTCAAAACTGAGGTGAGAAATGTCAGCATGGACGTAGCTCCACACCAAGAGACGTCTCGGGCAAGCAAGAGGAAGCTCACAATCTGGGGACAAAGCGTGCCAGCCGCTGGGGCGGTGCCGGGAGACAAAGGTTCAGTGCTGGGTATGTGGAGAAAGCTGCGGTCACGGCGGGATCACAGGCCAGTGGGTGATCCAATGCTGTCACCCCATATCCCCACACTGTTGCGCGGTGACACAGCCTTCTCTGGAGGTGACACCCCAATTTTCTGGTGCCTCCTATGTTTTGGGGGTGACACCCATGGCAGGAACCTCACCCAACTCTAAAGCCACTGACTCACCTACAACCCTGTCAGGCCTGTTGGGGGAAACCTTTGGTGACTCGAGTACCCAATACCCTTCACCCCTGGAGCCCAGTACACTGGAAACTTGGATCTAGCTCTCCAGGGACACACAGCCTCGATGAGGGACTCTGGGGTTGAGACCCTCCTTTGGATTGAGACACCCAGTTCTTCTCCCTCGAACCCACGGGTTCCAACCCCAGCCCTCCTTCTCGGATCCAGGGGTCCAGGCCTTCTCCCTCAGTTCAGGGGTCCGGACTCTTCCCTCGGACCCGTGTCGCAGACCCCCAACCTCCTCCCTCAGACTCAGCTTTCCTCCTTCAGACGCAGGAATCAAAACCCAGCCTGCCTCCCTCAGGCTCACATTCCAGACCACCCCCTCCAGGTTGTAACCAGGGCCAGGCACACCCTCACTTTTCTGGTCAGTCTCCTGCCTCCTCCATTCCAGTTTGGAGTGGAGATGAGGTGTGCTTATTACTTACTTACTTTGGTCCCCATAGGAAGCACTCCCTAAAATACGCCCCCTCCCCAAGTTTCCAGGCCAGAAAGAACAGTGTCCCCCCTTCCCCCTCAACCTGACAAAATCACTTGGCAGGATGAGAAGGAAACCCCGTGCCCCTCTGTATAACACACCAGGACTTCCTCCCGTCTCCCGGCCCCTCACTCTTCCCCTGCCTTACTGGCCCCTTAGTCCTCCCTCCGCCCACAGGCCCCCTGACCTCTCCCCTCCAAATCCCTGCTTCGTGACTTCTCTCCAGAGGTCACACTTCTGACCCTCAGCATCTCTGTCTCCTCATCTCCTGCTCCCATCCATTCCCCTGCCTCCCTCTGGTCCCCAACGCCCTCTCCATCTCCATCTTTCCCTCTCTTCTGGGCCACCCTGCTCCCCGAGTATTCTCCATCCCTGACTCTCTAGGTCACCCCCGCTCTGGTTTCTCCCTCTGCCCCCAGGTCTTCAGTCCTGAGCGATGACTCTGGAGGGGGAGCGGGGTGTGGGGAATGGAAAATCCAGGTGGAAGGGAAGAGGGTCAGGCCGACCGGCTGGGCTCCCTAGGCATCTCTGTCAGAGCCCCGCCCAGAGCTGTGTGGCCTGGCCCATATAAGCAGCTCCTGGCCTGGCACTGAGACTTAGTGTCTGCGTGTCACCTGCCTCCACCTCCCCGCGTGCATCTACAGGTAGGAGCACCCTCTCTCCCCAAAGCCCGCGCTCTCAGGCCGGGCGCCTTGACTGGCCCCCCGTCCTGGGTCGCAGCTCCAGCTCCTTTCTAGTCTCTGTCTGCCAACAACTAGGAACCTTGCTCTCTCCCGATGCCCCTACCTTCCCAGTCTTGCCTGAGCAACCCGAGTGGTGCAGAGTCGGATTTAGAAATTCAGGGGCCCAGCACCCAATCCGCTGGCCTGTTTGGATTGGTCCGTCCGACACGGCACACTTCTCTCCATCTCTGCGCCCACAAGTCCTCTGTGAGCTTGGCTTGCAGAGGCGACACAGCGCTTGGCCCTCGAGGGTGTCACTGGCCGTGTCTCCCGGCACCTAGCTGGCTCGGAGAGCTTTCCCACCTTGCCTCTGCCACGCCCCTCCCTGTGTCTTGTTCTCTTTGCCTCTCTCCAACTCTGCTCCTGCCCCAGGAGGGTCCTTTGGGGTCTGTCGGGCAGCTGTTAAGAAGATGGGCGAGTTGCTCGCCTCCCTCCCCGTTCCCAGGCAACAGGCTAACACGGCCTCTTTCTCCTCAGCTCTGCTCTCCCTTAGAGTCCAGCTTCCTGGGTGCCCTACCCCCTTGCTCTCCCTTGCCCAGTATCCAGCATCCCTTGGACAGACCCCGTTGCGGTTGGCTGCGTAGCTGTTGCCGTAGCCATCCCCAGCGGCCGGCCGGCCACACAGCAGCCACCTCCCCAGGGCCAGCGAGATGCAGTTTGAGATGCACGACAGCGTGAAGGGCAAAGGTGGGAGTCACCGGGTGAACCGACAACCTCCGGGGTGCCAGGAGCCTGGCTGCCTCCCTCCCCTGGGAACCCTGGCTTCGAAGACAAATGGCCCCTGAAATGCGAGCCCAGTCGTGGAGGAGGAGGAGGAGGTGGCAAGTCCAGGCTCTGCCCAGCTGTGGTGCCCACTTTACCTCCCGACCTTGGCTCGGCCAGATGTGTAGTTGGCAACAGCAACAGGGACAGACCAGGGGTGTTGATGACCAGATGTGACAGATGGGGATGGGAGGGGGACAGCCCTCAAGTGGGCGGCCAGGTGGCCTGCCCGGACTGCCCGGCAGAGGGGAGGGTGGCCCGGGGCGCTGTGACCCGGAGGCCCCGCCAGGATGCCTGGTGACGCTTTTCCTCTACCTCTACAGCCATGTCTTACCCAGTGACCAGTCAGCCCCAGTGCGCCAATACCTGCTACCAGACACAGCTCAGCGATTGGCACACCGGCCTCACCGACTGCTGTAACGACATGCCCGTCTGTGAGTGCCCAGGGAGGGGGGAAGGGACGGAAGCTCGCCCCAAACTCCTCCCAGCCCTTTCTATACCTTTCACACACACGCGCGCGCACCCTGCCACTTTGTGGGGCTCGGAAAGTGCCCTCTGCGATCTTCACTCTCCTGGGATCTCACCGTCCGGTCCCCAGACTCCTTCCTCACGGTGACTCCACTCCTTCCCCAGCCGCTAGTCCTCCCCATTCCGGACTCTGATTGCTTTGGGTCTTCGTTTCCTTCTCTACCCGTGGACCCTTATCCCCTCCGCGTCTGTGCCCTCCCCGGGGGCAAGCGCAGCACACCCGGACCCTGATCGTCCCGCCCTGTCCAGGTCTATGCGGCACTTTCGCTCCCCTGTGCCTCGCCTGTCGCATCTCTGACGACTTCGGGGAGTGCTGCTGTGCGCCGTACCTGCCCGGGGGCCTGCACTCTCTGCGCACGGGCATGCGGGAGCGCTACCACATCCAGGTGAGCTCCAATCCAGGACCGCCGGGACTGAGGACTGGGGTCCTGCCACCTGAGACCCCTGACCTCTACCGATTTCTCCCTTTCCCACCCTCCAGGGCTCCGTCGGGCACGACTGGGCTACCCTCACCTTTTGCCTGCCCTGCGCCCTCTGCCAGATGGCGCGGGAATTGAAGATCCGCGAATAAGGACGGTCCTCTCCTGAGTCCCTGGTCAAGCCTGGCCTCTCGGGGGTGGGGTGGGGGGGTGGGGGTAGGGGTGGGAGACACTCCTTGGAAAGCCTGTTCCATTGCCCCTGTGTCACCGCCAAAAAAATACACCCACAATAAAAACCGGAAAACCAACCCCGCCCACGTGCTTTTTATTGTCGCTGGGAAGGAATCTGGGTGCAGCGGGAGGTTTGAGGCGGGATGCATGAAAGATGTTAGGTGTATCGGAGAAGATGGCTCTGCCTGTAGGCGGCTCCCAGCGTGAAACCATTAGCCCTGATGCTGCAGATGGCCTATCTGAATCTCTGCCCACAACATGGAAATAAGCAAAACAAGCAAGACATCTTAGGGTAGGCAGGAGCCAGGAAATTTAAGAGGAGCCTGGGCCACCTTCGATGCATGGTCTGAGGTCAACCTGGACCACATACTGAGACCCTGCCTCAAATAAAAAAGCTTTAAAAAAAAAGACTTAAACTCTTCAGACAATGCTGCCCCCTGCTTAGAATCTATAGACTTTTTAAAAAGTCCCAGAAGCAGGCAGATCACAGAGTTCAAGGCCAGCCTGGTCTACAGAGCAAGTTCCAGGACAGCCAAGGATACACAGTTTTTTAATTTCCTGTGTGTTGTACCGGCACACACGTGTGTGATGCTCTGAGAGCAGAACACTGAGTCCCCTGTAACCTGTTCTCCCATCAGCCTCCAGACAAATGGGCCTTTGAGGGAAAGCACACACACACACACACACACACACACACACACACACACACACACACGGTAGTCCTGACAAGACAGCCCATCATACTGACGCTCATCACTGCTTCCTCAACTCAATGACTTTGTTTAGTGGCACTTACTGCAAAATAACTAATTGAACATGCTTGGGTCTCAGGATTCCTGGGGTCCAATCTTGACCTCGCCACTTCTACTATCTTAGTGAGTTAGTAAACCTTTTGAGTAAGCTTTCTCCTCTGAGGGTGGCAGTTCCTAATTTGAAAAAGGTCTATTCTAGAGGCTGGAGAGATGGCTCAGTGGTTAAGAGCACTGGCTGTGCTTGGGGAGGATTTGGGTTTGGTTCATGGCACCAATACGGCGGCTCACAATGCTTGTAACTCTACTTCCAGGATCAGACTCCCTCTTCTGGCCTGTTGGCGCACCTGCACTCACAGGCATATACACATACGCATAAGTACATCTTTTTTTTTTTAAAGCCAAGTTTATGTTCACATCTCATAGAGTAGAAGCCACCATCAGCTCAAAAGGCAAAACTAATGGGACCAGAGAGGCCTTAAGTCCCATGTCATTCACGAGGCACACAGGAAACTTCAACATCTCCCCAGTCCAGCCTGCACGTCCTTGGCTGTTGTGCATTGGGGCGAGCATACAGAGAAGGTACACTGCTGAGCACATGCAACATTAGATCCGTGCTGAGTTGAGGCTGAGGGCAGTTCTCAGGTTGGCACCTGCCCTCACATCGAAGCTCTGGCACAGCCCAGGGCCGAGAAGGCGAAGGATGGATGGATGGAAGGATGGATGGATGGATGATGGATGGATGATGGAAGGATGGATGGATAGATGGATGATGGAAGGATGGATGGATGGATGATGGATGGATGGAAGGGTGGATGGATGGATGATGGATGGATGATGGAAGGATGGATGGATGGATGATGGAAGGATGGATGATGGATGGATGGATGATGGATGGATGGAAGGATGGATGGATGGATGATGGATGGATGATGGATGGATGGATGGAAGGATGATGGATAATGCTTTTCAGCTTCATGTTGAGTGTTCCCATCAGCGAATGCCCATCCACCACACCATTCAGTGTCTTCCCAGCCGCGGCCCTCCCCAGCACTGCCAGCTCTCCAGGCCCGATTCCTCCAGTTGAAATAGAGCGGCTTCTGTAATCTGTACCCCAGGCTTTTCTTGTCTAATGCCGATGCCTGGACACAGGCTGACTGTTTCTCCCTGAGCCAAACTGTGGCGGGGACAAAGGGTGGGTCAAAGTTTCCCCGTCCATTGTTCCCCTCACCTCTCTCTTCTGAGTAACAAGAGGTCCTGTGTGGCTCTGAGGTAGGTCCAGGACAAAGGCGCATGCTCCGCTCACCAGGAAGCCAGCCCCCCCCCGTTTGCACACAGCAGACACTCCAAGACACCTGGTCTTCCCCACATTTTATTTGCGGCTTCCATTGCTGCAATGTGACCTCTGTTATTTGACATGCGCACAGTAGCAGGGACCTCTCAGACTGGGGTACCCCACCAGGGGAAGAAGCTGGGCCCAAGCCCCACCCCAGGACCAACACAGCAGCTGGAAGTTGGGAGTCTTGGGAAGGCAGGAGTCCCAAGATCAGGGAGCTGCCTAGGGGTGGGGGAAGGGAGTCCTCAAGGGTTAGAAGAGCTCCTATGTCCAACAAGAAGGTCCAGGTGAGAGTAGCCTATGGGGAGAGACCCAGAACCTCAAGAAAGAGAGGCAAGTGAATCTCTGTGAGTTCGAGGCCAGCCTGGTCTACAGAGTGAGTTCCAGGACAGCTTCCAAGACAATACAGAGAAACCCTGTCTGGAAAAACCAAAAAAAAAAAAAAAAGGGGCACGTGATAGCCTTCCCAGGGTCCCTCGCCCCCACCCGCCAGAGCGGGTTGTGAGCGTCTCAGGAGAGGACTTCCTGAGGCTCCCTTGAAACAAGCCTCAATTCCCAGCTCCAGCTGGTGACCCTGGTCTCAGGTCACCACTGAACTCGGTCCCTCCAGCCCAGGGAAGGCAGCAGCAGTTGACCGCCCCCACCACACACGAGAAGACGCTGCTGGCCTTCACCAGAACTACGCCTGGATCCCTCCACTTGAAATACTCAAAGCGCTTTTCTGTGAGTCCCCGGTCAGGCCCGATGCAAGCCCAAACCGGACTCCTTTTCCACAAGTCCCAGCCTGCCCCTTCTTAGCAATGACCTCACTGCACACCCATGGCCTTAAAGTGGCCATCTGGATGTCCTCTTCCTCACCCCAACATCTGCCCTGCTGTCACATCCTGTCACTCCCCCTGCATCTGACGCTGTCACCCGGGCCACCTCCCTGCTCCTGCACTGCTACCCACCTGCAGCCTCTCCTGCCCCCAGAAGCTCACTCCTCTCCAAAGCCAGGGATAGGCACGGCTCCTCATTCCCGGCCACAGAGCCACCGAGCAGCGTCCCATGGCTCTGAGAACAAAACCAGGGTCCTGTCTGTCCTCAGCCTCATCTTACACTTCACCTGGGCTGCAGTGACCGGATTTCTCGTTCTGTTAAAGAAACAAACTGGTTTCCAGCCTCAGGGCCTTCTGCCTTACAGCTTCCTCAACGCTGGATTCGTTTCCCAAAGATCTTTCCTCAGTCCGCTGCCTTTCTCAGCCCGGTTTCTCCAAATGTCTAATCGACTTTACCCACAATCCCTCAGTGTTAGACCCTGCTAATATCAAGACACTTTTCTGGCGTGTGTGTGTGTGTGTGTGTGTGTGTGTCCTTCCAAGAACCCAGGTCCCACCAGATCAGGGAAGCTCATTTCACCTGCTTTTCTCTGCGCCTCCAACTCTGCTGGGCACAAAGTAGCAGCTCAATAAATAGTTGCTAAATGCAGAACAAGGGGGGATCCTGGGGAAAGGGGGCCAGCGGTCTCTGGGGACTGTCCAGAGAGGCCCCAACAGGCGACTTGGCGGCTGTGGGAGAGGACCCCTGACAGGTCAAAGGGACATGCTAGTGAGATTGTCCTGGCTCAGCAGTCCCTTTCGGCCTCCGCCACCCCCATGCCCACTGCCCCCAGCACCTCCCCCGCCCCCACAGTACTCATGCAGCCTGTGCCGCAGCGTGACAAGGGCTGACCCGAGGCAGGCCCCGTTGGGCGCATGAGGCCCCCCCGGCAGCTGGAGCAGCAGAGTGGCCACACCAGCCATGCCGTCTTCCGTGGGCTCAAGGGTAATAGGTCCAGCTCGCAGGCCAGCTGTGGTGGCAGGAAGGGCTGGTGGGCAGCACCCCCCTCCCATGGGCCCCCAGGGGCCCCCAGCTCCTGTCAGCAACAGGGGTGCCAGGAAAGGCTCGGAGCGGCGGAAGGCAGGAGGCGGGAGCCCGGCTGGCTTCCAAGCAGGGGCTGGGCCGGTGGGCTCTGGGGGGAAGCACACGGTGACCTTGGCAAAGGGGCGGCTGGCCATCTTGGTCATCTCCTGCAGGTGCCGGCGCTGCTCCTGCCGCTGGTCCAGGGCCTGCTTGGCTTTCCAGAGGAGCACACAGAGCGACAGGAAGAGGAAGAAGCAGGAGAAGAAGACGGAGAAGAAGACAAACAGGTCGATGTGGGCCTGGTCTTGCCGGAAGAAGAGCAGGCCCTGGGAGTCCGCTGAGCCATTGGCACCAGGCCCGCTGGGATCTCCCACGCCCAGCAGCAGCAGGTAGAAACGACTTGATTTGAGGGCGTGGTGCTCGTGAGGATAGGTGATCACCAGCCTGTCCCGCACGCTGCGCACCACCAGCACGGCTGACGGTTCCGTCACTGTCACATAGGTGATCAGGCCCCGGGGCCACACCTCCCGGACTCGAGGTTCCACTGGAGTACCTGGTCCACTTCCAGTGCCCAGTCCTCCTAGGTCCCCAGCCACCCGGGGCCCCCCCTCAGCGGGAGGAGGGGGTGGTGGGGGCGGCGGGGGCGGCTGGATATGCACAGTGTGGACACCTGTGTTAGGGGCCACTCGGACCACGAAGGTGTCGTAAGAGGTGGAGACATAGAGGTCCACAGCACCGAAGGTCACATCTAGTGTCAGGCGAATGTCCACGTTGGTGAACTTGGGCTGCACGCCAAAAAGCACCGTGCGCCCAGGGCCCAGTGCCCGCCGTTTGGGCTCGTGGAAGCAGTTGGTCTGGGAAGTAGGGTCCAGGCAGCACTCCTGTTCCACCGAGATGAGCCGGTAGCACTGCTGGCCCCCTAGAGGGCTCCCGTGGAATGACTCCCGGCACTTGGCGCACTGTGGAGGGCAGGAGCCGACATCAGGGAGACCCCAGGATCA